CTTCGCAGCAAGCTGCTTTGCTGCTACTGCGGCTGCTGCTGCTGCTGCTGCTGTTGCGGCTGCTGCTGCTGCCGCTGTTGCTGCTGCTGCAGCTGTTGTTGCTGGTGCTGCTGCTGCTGCTGTTGTTGCTGGTGCTGCTGCTGCTGCTGCTGCTTGCCTGGTCTAGTCGGCCCTCAATTAAGCGCATAGAGCGAATCTCCGGAGAGTCTTCAGTGCAGGGCTTAACAGATGCCAACTCCAGGTCTGCGGCCAAACCCTAAACCCTAAACCCTAAACCCTAAACCCTAAACCCTAAGCCCTATACCCTAGGCCCTGAACCCTAAACCCTAAAACCTATGCTCTATGCCCTAAGCTCTATGACCTAAACCCAAAATCCTACACCCTAAACGCTAAGCCCTAAACCCTAAACCCTGAACCCTAAACGCTAAACCCTAAACCCTAAACCCTGGAGAAGGAGCCGCGAGCTCTACACTCTAGGCTGCGAGCCTTCAACAATCCGTCCCAGATTCTAAACCCTAAACCCCAGACTCTATATTGTAAACCCCAAACCCTAAACCATAAATCACAAACCATAAACTAAACCCTAAAGCCTAAACCCTACCCTTGAGCTTGTCCTGCAGCTGATCAAGCTGCTGCCGGTAAATCGCATTTTTGTTTTTCTGTTTATCTAATTGAGTCCTCAGCCGAGCCAACTCCTCGCTCTGGAGATACACCCGAGCAGCAGCAGCAGCAGCAGCAGCAGCAGCAGCAACAGCAGCAACAGTAGTAGCAGCATGAGTGGTACTTTAAGTGGCGAACGCAGCAGCACCAAAATAGAAGAACAAGCAGTAGGCGCAGTAGCGGCAGCCACTGCTGCTGTTGCTGGTGCCGCAGCAGCAGCAGCAGCTGCTGCTGCTGCTGCTGCTGCGGCTGACCTTTCTCTCGATGTGCTCGCTGCTGGTGAGGACAGTCTGGGCCTTCAAAGCCTTGAGGTGCTGCAGCAAATATTCATTTTCAGCTTTTAGCTGCACCAAAGAAGAATAGTTGGCCTGCAGCGTCCGCTGCGTTGCAGCAGCCGCGGACTGCCGCTCCGCCTCTGCAGCAGCAGCAGCAGCAGCAGCAGCAGCAGCGGTGAGGGCAGCAGCGGGGGCAGCGGGGCGCGGGCTGTAACGGGGGCGGCTACAGGTGCTGCAGGGGGAGCCGCAGAACTGGCAACAGCAGCGGACTGTAGCAGCAGGAGCAGCAGCAGCAGCAGCTGCTGCTGCTGCTGCGCGGCTAAAACCAGCAGCAGCAGCATGGGCCAACACTGCAGCAGCATGCGCCATTTTCTGCAGCAGCTGGGCCTCCAGCTGTCCATCAGGTGCTGCAGCAGCAGTGCCGGGGCTGCTACTAGCAGCAGCAGCTCAGGCAGCAGCAGCAGATCAAGCAGCAGCAGCTGGAGCGAAGCAGCAGCGTTGCGACACCATAAGCGGCGTCGCCAAACAGAGCAGCAGCAAACCTAGCAGCAGCAGAAGCAGCAGACGACAGTGCAGCAGCAGCAGCAGAAGCAGCAGAGGAAACTGCAGCAGCAGCAGCAGCAGTTTTGAGACTGTGGCTGCCAAATGACAGCAGCAGAAACTTCAAGAAAGTTGTGGTGTCTGTACACCCCACCTATGGCTTCGTATCTTCGCTGCAGCTCCCTTCGCTGCTCTTCTTGCTGATCAACTGCTGTCTCCATCTTTGCTGCTGCTGCTGCTGCTGCTGCGGCTGCTGCTGCTGCGGCTGCTGCTGCTGCTGCTGCTGCAGTGTCTACGGCCCACGGGGAGCTGTGTGAGCGCCTTTTGCTGCTGGTTTTGTTTCAAGACTAACTGGCCCTTCAGAGGACTAATTTGTTCAAAAGAATTCATTTATTTATTTAATTTATTTAATTTGTCTATTTATATTTATTTATTTTCATTTTCCCCATTAATTGTGGCTATTTAAATGATGGCCGGAAGCCAGACAGCCTTCTGCTGCTGCTGCTGCTGCTGCTGTCCCAGTTTGCTGCTGCTGCTGCTGCTGTCCCAGTTTGCTGCTGCTGCTTGTTGAGGTTTATTCTGCAGCTGCTGCTGCGCTTATCTGATTTCTAAACCCTAAACCCTAAACCCTAAACCCTGATCATTCCCTCTACTACTGGCTCGGCCCAAAGACGAAAGAACTTTTCAAGCTGTACGGTTTGGTGAGTGGAGGACTAGCAATTGCTCTGTTGCAGCAACAGGTTTGCTGCTGCTGCTGCTGCTGCAGTAGCAGCCTCTGTGCATGCGCAGCAGCAGCAGCAGTAGCTGCTGCTGCTGCAGCTGCTGCTGCACGAATTGTTGCTGTGCCCAGTTGTTCAATGGCAAACTTTGAAATTAGGCAGCAACTGAGCTAAAACTTGCTATAGCGACAGCAGCAGCAGCAGCAAGCGCAGCAGCAGCTGCTGCAGCAGAAGACACGCGCAGGCGGAGCAGCCGCAGCAGCAGCAGCAGCAGCGACGCCCAGGCAGCCAGCCCAGTGTACGTACACATGCTCATGCGCAGCTTTTCTTTTTCCTAAAGTTCTTTTATTTTAAATATTTAAAAATTCTTTTTAAAACGAGTTTGGATTCAGAGGGTTGCAGCAGCAGCAGCAACAGCGCCGACGCAGTGGCTGGGGAAGCTGCAGGCGTGTGCGACTGCAGCAGCAGCAGCAGCAGCAGCGGCAGCAGCAGCAGCAGCAGCAGTGAGATGATCTGGCACGGCAGCTTCGCGGAATTGATTGAATTTTGCGCAATACTTTTTAGAAACTAATTTTCGTGGTGTTTCTTTGGCCCTTTGGGTTCTGCTGCTGCTGCTGCTGCTGCTGCTGCGGCTGCTGCAGAGAGCGCCGGGGGTCTTCGCCGCAGCGTCCCACGCAGCTCTGAGGTGTACAGGCACCTCGTTTGCTGCTTTTTTCCTCTATGCTCTTTTTATTTCCAGCAGCAACTGCAGCAGCAGCTCTAATGGCTCTCGCTGCTGCTGCCGCCCCCCCACAGACCCGGCAGCAGCAGCAGCAGCAGCGGCTGCACCAGCGGCAATAGCAGCAGCAGGAGCAGCAGCAGCAATAGACTGAGGAGCTTTCTTCTGGCCTCTTCAGCAACCCTTTGTCTTTCTTTCCCTTAGTAGTCGAGGCTGCTGCCGTTGCGACTGCTGCTGCTGCTGCTGCTGCTGCTGCGCATACACCCCAGCTGGGGAAGCAGCAGAGAATGGTATGGAGGGTCTCAACGGAGCTTCCGAGTAGGAGGGGCTCTTGTGGCGGTGGGGGTGCTGTTGCTGCTGCTGCTGCAGTTCCAGCAGCAGCAGCAGCACCCGCAGCAGCAGAAGAGGCTGCAGCAGCACTGGTTGTCGAAAGCAGCAGCAGCTGCAGCAGCGCAGCAGCGCAGGGGGCCCCCTTCGCTGTTGTTGCTGCTGCTCCTGCAAGAAGCCCCAGATGCATCCCCAGGGCCCATGTGCTGCTGCTGCTGCTGCTGCAGCTGCTCAAGGCCTGCGTCATGGCCATGGCGTGTGCCATAGGGTGGAAGGTGATTTGCTGCTGCTGCTGCCCTTAGTGCCGCTGCTGCTGCTGCTGCTGCTGTTCAAGTTGCTGCTGCTGCAGCGGCTATAAGCCCTCCTTTTGCTGCTGTTCGCACTGGCACTGCTGCTGTTCGCAGTGCTGCCCTAGTCACTGGTATTGCCGCTGTTGCCGTTGCTGCTGCTGCTGCTGCCGCTGTCGCTGCTGCTGCTGTTAGTGTTGCTAGTTGCGCTTTTATTAGTAAAGATGCTGCTGCTGCTGCTGCTGCTGCTGCTGTTTGTGGGTGGCGCAGCTGCTGCAGCTGTGCTGCATGTTAGTGCTCATTTGATATTTCATTTTTCAATCTTACTTTGATTTTAATTTAATTAGTATTTAATTATTTAATTATTTTTCAAATTTAATTTTAATTTATCTGTTTGAATTTTGCTGCAGGTCATTTGGTCCCAAGTGCACCTGCAGGCGCGGCTGCTGTCAGTGGGCTTGCTGCTGCTGCGGCTGCTGCAGCTGCAGCTGCTGGACCTGCTGCTGCTGCCGCTGCAGCAGCTGCAGCAAGCATTTAGGAGTGCTGCTGCATATATCTTTTACTGTAGTCCTGCTTATCAGGGGCCGCTGCCTTCTGAGCTGCAGAAGCAGCAGCAGCAGCAGCAGTTTCGGCAGCAGCTGCTGCAGCAGCAGCAACAGGTTCGCCAGCAGCAGCAGCAGCTGCGGGCGCAGCTTCACAAAGAACTTAGGGAGCTGCAGCAGCAGCAGCAGCAGCAGGAGCCGCTGCAGCAGCAGCAGCAGCATGAATAGAAAGAGCGAGGCGTGTACCCTCCTCAGCCCAGTCTTCTTGGCACCCCAGCCGCAGCAGCAGCAGCAGCAGCAGCAGCAGCAGAAAGAGTCTTCTCTGCTGCTGTCTCTCGCCAAGCCGAAGTGCCCGTAGTGTCGTGTCTGTATTGAAAGCAATCTAATTAATAAGAGATTTAATTCATTATCTTAATTTATTTAATTCTATTTATTATTCAATTTATTATTTATTTTCATTTCTATTTATTATTTTCTTTTCAATTCTAATGACAGCAAAATTAACACAGCAGTAGACAACAGCTGTGACCCCAGACAAAGTCCTCAGGGGGCCCCCGGGGGCCCCCAGGGGGGCCCCCGGGGGCCCTCTGGGGCCCCCGGGGGCCCTGGGGGCCCCCGGAGGCCCCTAGGGGGCCCTGGGGGCCCCCGGAGGCCCGTAGGGGCCCCTGGGGGCCCCCGGGGGCCCTTGGGGAGAGGCCTTTGGGGGGCCTCTTTAACCTCCTGGGCCCTGGGGGCCCCCGAGGGGGCCCCCGAGGGGCTTTGCTAGTAATTGGGGGCCCCCTGGGGGCCCCTGGGGGCCCCCGAGGGGCCCCCAGGTAGTCTTTATCAGTTTTTCTTGCTGCAGCTGCTGCAGCGTCGCTAGGGGAGTCCCGCTGGGGGCCCCCTGGAGGCCCGCGGCCGCTTCTAGAGGGGCCCCTGGGGGGCCCCCTTTCATGCAAGGCCGCTGCTGCTGCTGCTGCTGCAGCTGCTGCAGCGCTTTGGGCCTCTGCTGCTCCTCCTCGTGTCGGATCTATTAATTCTTCGCAGGGGCTTGCAGTAGATGCACCCCACAGGCGGCCTCTCAGCAGCAGCAGCTGCTGCTGCAGCTGCAGCAACTGCTGCAGCAGCAGCTGCTGCAGCAGCAGCGGGGGGATGCGCAGTTGGCTCGAAGCGTGTGGGCGGTGAAGGACCGGAAACGGACGCACTTTGAATTGTAGAAGTAAATAAATAAAATAAAATAAGACAGTTTAAATAGATAAAGAAATAAAAAGAAACAAAAAGGAATGAATAAAAAGTATATCAAAGAAATCAAATGCTGGACTCCAATGAACAGAACCAAAACTTTTCTTTTTATTTTCTGTTGCGGCTTTAGCCCAAAAGACTTCAATATTAAATCTGCGAACATCAAAATGTAAACGCAGACAAGTAAATAAATGAAGTGGATAGATGGAGCGAGTAGATAAATAGATTACATACATAAAATAAATAAAGTAAGTGGAGTAGATTAGTTAGAATGGAAGCGTAAAGGGTGAAAGACAAAGGAGAATGCATTTAGGTGTTTTCGCTTTTGAGTTGTGAAGTTTAGAGGATGAAGTTGAGGGGGAGTTAAATTTATTTTGAAAGTATTCTTAGTTTGAGGCAAAAGTAAAACTAATTTATTATAATTTATAGTTGTAAAAGAAGTCTAAATGGGTTTTAAAAGTGTTTAAAATATAAATAATTATAAAGCGATTAGGAGGTGCACTGCCGCAGCTGTATGTACACCTGAGGGTAAGGTTTTGAAGTAGTTTTACAAATAAATGTGCAGCTGAGCTCCTAAATATGTTTTATAAATGTAAATGTTTATTTTAATGAATAATTATGAATCAATTGTTGAAAATAAATCCAGGAATCGCAAAGAACAGACAAATATATTTATTTTGTCTTATAATTTGCACTCGAGACCTCATACACTTGCTGAGGCGAGGGCTTCGGCACTTCAATTTTGGCTTAAATGGATCATTTTGTTTCTTCTTTGGTTTATTATTTTGAAATTTAAAGTAATTTTTATTTTTAAATCTTTTGTTTTTAATTTTTCCATTTTAATTCTTAGTGAAGCGAAGTTTCGCCGCTTGCCAAACTGAGCGGCACGGCGGCGAGCGCCGCGCGCCGCGGCGCGGGGGCAAATTTTGAAAACAAATGAAAGAAATGAAAGCAAAAGGAGTCAAATAAATGCAAATAATTAAAAATAATTGAAAATAAATAAAAGAATAAATAAAAGAATAAAAAATAAATCAAAATGCGCCAAATAAACCCCAAAATGACGAAAAGTGAAGACAGGAACCCCAGAGCGGGAGAGCTGCGCCTGAGCGGCTCTGCAGTCGATTTGGCAGCAGCAAATTAATTTAATTGAATTAATTAAATTAATTAAATTAAATTAATTAAATTAAATTAAGTTGATTAAATTAAATCAATTTAATTATTTAAATCAAAAAAGAATAGAACAAAAAGGAAATAAAGCAAACAGAATCGAAAAGGCACTACACGTAGACACCCGCATGGCGGCAGCAAAAGATGCATAATAATAAATAAATAAAAACAAAAAATAAAAAAACGAATAATAAATAAATGAATAGTAAATGAATAAATAAATAAATAAATAAATAATAAATAATGAATAAATAAATAAGGAGATAGACTTTCTGCTTACAGCTATATGGCTCAGATCTATTTGGGGTCATTATGTAGCGAGTGAGCAGCGCAGCAGCAAGAAAGCAGCAGCAGCAACTGTAGCAGCAGAATGTGCAGCAGCAGCAAATATAGGAGCAGCAACCGTAGCAGTAGCAACTACGCCAGAAGCCAGGTCTGAGCAGCAGCAGGGTAAGAGCAGCACAACTGCAGCAGGGTCTACTGCAGCAGCAAAAACTGCAAAAAGGGCAGCAGCGGCAGAAGCAACTGGAGCGGCAGCAACTGCAGCAGCAACAACTGCTGCAGCAGACAAAACTTATCCACAGCTAGAAGTGTTGCAGCTCTACCAAGAATAGCAGCAGCAACAGCAGCAGCAGCAGCACCAGCAAAAGTAGCAACCTGCATCATCTGAGGGCCTCTACTGTATTCTTCAAATCGAAAGGAACTAGACATTGCGTCTGTTGCTGCAGCAGCTGCTGCTGCAGTCTGTGCTGCTGTGGATACCGCTGCTGCATGAGCAGCAGCTGCAGGGGCTGCATGAGCTGCTGCATGAGCAGCTGGTGTGTTTGCTGCTGCAGCCTGCAGCAGCAGCAGCTGCTGGAGGCCGTGGCGTTTCTGTTTGCTGCAGCTGCTGCTGCAGCCGCTGCGAATGCTGTTGCTGCTGCTTTTCTCTGTGCGAGCGCCGCCTGATGTCCCAAAGCAACAGGAGCAGCAGCTGCTCCAGCAGCAGCAGCAGCAGCAGCAGCAGGTGCTGCTGCTGCTGCTTCTCAATTTTGTGTGTTTACTTTTTCTTTTTGTGGCTGGCATCCTTCGCAGTTTCCTGTTGGCCTTTATTTGCCTTGGCCGTTTTGCCTTGTTTGTTCTTCTCCTTTTCCCCCTTTTGCTGCTGCTGCTGCTGCTGCTGCATTCTGTGCTGCAGCGTCTGCTGCAGTTCCGGCTGCGCTTGCTGGTGCCCCTGTCCGCCCGCATGCCCGTGGCCGTGCTGCTGCTGCTGCTGCTGCGCGTCAGCGGCGCCTCCCGCCCCCTGCTGCTGCTGCTGCTGCTGCTGCTGCTGCTGCTGCAGCTTGTTGCGCTCCTTCTGGGCCTCGGCGAGGCGGTGCAGCAGCACCGTGTCTCTGAGAATGCTGCTGCCCCAGCCCTCTTCGATGTTTTCTGCTTCTGCTTTTATGTACTGCAGCTCCTGGTTTAAATCTTCTTGTGCTGCAGCAAACTGCTGCCAAGCTGCTTCCTGCAGCAGCCCGTGGCGGTAGAGGCGGTATATGCTGCT